AAAGTAGTAATCAGATGATGATATGGACAAAGGTGAAGGTAATTTCTGATGTAGCAAACAGCAAAAAGAGCATTAACGTCGGACTTGGTTACAGTGGCAAACTAATAGAGAGAGCACTGGTGCAAGACATTTTGTTGGGCCCACCTCTATCTAAAGAGTGGCCAAAAGGTAAATCTTCATCTGTTGTACAACGCCCACAATGCTTTGCCTTTTGGGGATCTACTCATCGCCCATCCTTACAGGGTTGTATTTGTGAGAAGTGCTTGTGTGTTTGAATGTAAGCATGTATTTGTATAGATTATGTGTCATGGACCAAGGGTAGCAGGGTTCCTTTTCCTTGGGTGGTAATTTTACAAGGTTTCAGGTAGTTTGAGTTATATGATAAAATTGTGCTCAGTGTTTGTTTTGGTGGGGCTGTGGGTTGTTTACAACAAGAAAAACAAGGAGTTATGGGAAGAGGACTTGGTGAGGAACTGTATGTACTGTTAATTGCCTTATTGTAGGCAAACGAGCCATTGTGGGTATTAATACCTCTGCACAGCTGCCATCATTTCAGTTATGTTGAACCCTACATTTAGTCTCGACTCATTGTGTGGGTTAAAGGTGTTTTGATGCTTGAATGGAGTTTTTGTACATAATTTTAGTGTTTTAATACAGGGGTGTGTTTGTATGTAATGTTTGTGGTTGAAACATAGAAACATAGAAACATAGAATGTGGCGGCAGATAAGAACCATTTGGCCCATCTAGTCTGCCCAATTTTCTAAATACTTTCATTAGTCCCTAGCCTTATCTTATAGTTAGGATAGCCTTATGCCTATCCCATGCATGCTTAAACTCCTTTACTGTGTTAACCTCTACCACTTCAGCTGGAAGGCTATTGCACTCATCCACTACCCTCTCAGTAAAGTAATACTTCCTGATATTATTTTTAAACCTTTGTCCCTCTAATTTAAGACTATGTCCTCTTGTTGTGGTAGTTTTTCTTATTTTAAATATAGTCTCCTCCTTTACTGTGTTGATTCCCTTTATATATTTAAATGTTTCTATCATATCCCCCCTGTCTCGTCTTTCCTCCAAGCTATACATGTTAAGATCCTTTAACCTTTCCTGGTAAGTTTTATCCCGCAATCCATGAACCAGTTTAGTAGCCCTTCTCTGAACCCTCTCTAAGGTATCAATATCCTTCTGAAGATACGGTCTCCAGTACTGTGTACAATACTCCAAGTGAGGTCTCACCAGTGTTCTGTATAATGGCATGAGCACTTCCTCTTTCTACTGCTAATACCTCTCCCTATACAACCAAGCATTCTGCTAGCATTTCCTGCTGCTCTATTACATTGTCTGCCTACCTTTTAAGTCATCAGAAATAATCACCCCTAAATCCCTTTCCTCAGATGTTGAGGTTAGGACTCTATCAAATATTCTGTACTCTGCCCTTGGGTTTTTACGTCCAAGATGCATTATCTTGCACTTATCCACATTAAATGTCAGTTGCCACAATTCTGACCATTTTTCTAGTTTTCCTAAATCATTTGCCATTTGGCTTATCCCTCCTGGAACATCAACCCTGTTACATATCTTAGTATCATCAGCAAAAAGACATACCTTACCATCAAGACCTTCTGCAATATCACTAATAAAAATATTAAAGAGAATGGGTCCAAGTACAGATCCCTGAGGTACCCCACTGGTGACAAGTCCAAGCTTCGAATATATTCCATTAACTATAACCCTCTGTTGCCTGTCACTCAGCCACTGCCTTACCCATTCAACAATATTGGAATCCAAACTTAAAGATTGCAGTTTATTGATAAGCCGTCTATGTGCAACAGTGTCAAAAGTTTTACTGAAATCTAGGTAAGCAATGTCTACTGCACCACCCTGATCTATAATTTTAGTTACCCAATCAAAAAAATCAATAAGATTAGTTTGGCATTATCTCCCTGAAGTAAACCCATGTTGTCTCTGATCTTGAAATCCATGTGTTTTTAGATGTTCAAAAATCCTATCCTTTATAGAAAATACTACCGAGCAGAGAACAAACTCTGACAAGGAGTACAGAGAGGGTTATAGAGGTAGAAGAACGGGCATAACCCTACATGCAATATTAGAAGAAAGAAAGTAGTAAGAGGAATATCTCTCGCATATAAATGAGGGGAATCCTCGTACCAATGCTACCCCCAGAGAAGCACAAATGGGCTTTAATCTTTAATATCAATAACTCACATTCCCTACAACCAAAGGGAAAATCCCATCACAAAACAGGAAAAAATGACATGCTAATATTGGCTGGTAATCACTGCTAGATTGATCTGTAACAGTATCCACAAGTTATCCATATTGTGGCAAACCTAATTGTTACATAAACATAGTAAGTATGAACAATGTTACATTGTCTGTTTATAAAATCCACAATTTGCAGGGAATTAAGTCAAAGCCGAAACAACAATATGCTGTGTCCCAATAATTATAGCAAGTAATAGAGGCACAAAAACAATCCCCCCTATAGATAAAGTTGTTTATCTAAATAGTCCTACATTTCCCATATATGCAACTATCCTATTAATAATGATAAGGAAATTGAAAGGATAGCAAGATGAATAGTAGGGGAAAATAAAGGTAGAAAATAGAGGAGGAGAGGTAGACTTTTGACAGTTGAAATAAACCGCCTTTCTCAAGGACCCACCGCTGTAAACTCACGTGTAATAAATTACTCATTTATCCTTTTTCTTTGCTGAGGTCACTTACCTTCATTTTCATCTGTAAATACAGAACAAAAATATTAATTGAGGCAGTCAGCTAGACCTTTATCCTCTTCTACATACCTTCCTTCTTTTGTTTTTAATCTAACTAATCCTTGTTTTACTTTTCTTTTCTCATTTATGTATCTAAAAAAATGTTTTATCCCCTTTTTTACTGACTGTGCTATTTTCTCTTCTGTGTGTGATTTGGAAGCTCTTATAACTTGCTTAGCCTCTTTCTGCCTAATCTTATAGATCATTTTGTCTTCCTCACTCTTGTTTTTTTTTATAATTCCTAAATGCTAACTTTTTGTTTTTAACTATTTTGGCCACATCTGCGGAGTACCACAGTGGTTTCTTGAATTTTTTGTTTTTACTGACAAGCCTAATGCAATTTTCTGTTGCCTTCAATAGTGCAACTTTTAAATAATCCCATTTCTCTTGGACTCCATTTAAATTGCTCCAGTCTGATAATGACTCCTCTACACATATTCTAATTTTAGAAAAGTCTGTTTTTCTAAAGTCTAAAACTTTTGTTTTTGTGTGGTGTGACTCAGTCACTGTTCTTATATTAAACCACACTGACTGATGATCACTGGATCCTAAACTTTCACCTACAGTAATATCTGATACCAAATCTCCATTTGTTAACACTAAATCTAGTATGGCCTCTTTACGAGTTGGCTCCTCAACAACTTGTTTTAGAGACAATCCCAAGAGGGAGTTTAGAATATGTGTGAACCTCTGAACTGCTCACTGAGAACATTTGTTCCCTTTTGAGAAAGATGCAAACCATCTTTTTTGTACAGTTTATTTCCATTCCAAACAGAGCTACCATGAGAAATAAAGCCAAATCCTTGCTCCCGACACCATTCACCAAGCCACAAATTAAAGTCCCTAATACGCATCCGCCTGTCGTTCTGATTGTTATGCACAGGCAGAATTTCAGAGAATGACAGTGTGGAAGCAACCTGCCGTATATCATTGTCAAAAACACTAAAAACTTCCTTAACCTCTGAAACCTCATTGCAAGCCAAGTCATTTGTCACTAGATGGACAAGTACATCCAATTCCCCTTCCTGCTTTGCTTGCTTAACAATATTACAGATACGTCTCCTGTCTCTGTGAGCAGTAGCTCCGGGAAGACACCTCACAAGACCACCATTGTCCATCTCCACACCTCTTATAATGGAATCCCCCAACAACAACTGCTTTCTATTAGGCCTCACCATAGTCTCCAAGCCGGTCTCCACAACACCACTAGCCTCAGTGCCTCTCTCCACAACACCACTAGCCTCAGTGTCTCTTTCCACAACACCATTACACTCTGAAAGTGCAGAAAATGAATTATGAAGAGCAACAGACTGTGCAAAATGCCTTTTATCCACAACTCTAAGTCTAACAGATCCTACAGTAATCCATCTGCCATTCCTAGTATGTCTCTGCGGCAGTGGCTTTGCTGAAGTTCCAGTCTGAGTTTGTTCACCAGATAATTTACAAATCTCAGACTTCAAAAATACAATCTCCTGCCGCAAGATAGAGAACTGTCTACAGATTAGACAACAACCAAACCTCCAAAAAGTGGAACGTGAAACAAATGCATAGCAACTATTACACTGAACTAAGTCTGCCATTCCAGTGAGGAGAATAATTTAAATCAAACCAATCTTAACTTTTTATTTATCCTCCTGAATATCTCAGATTACCTCCAGGTTATCTCCAGAATATCTCCAACTACACACTTAGAAGCAACACTCTCCAGAATATCTCCAACTACACACTTAGAAGCAACACTTAGATGAAGCATCCAAGCTATATTAGCCAAGCTAATGACAACAGCCCTTATATAACTCCTAAAATCACCACCCACTAGGAATGTTTAACACCTGGGTAGGCCTCTGCTTATTTGCAAACAATAGCTAATTTAAACAGCAATCAATAGCAAGTAATCTAATCAAATCTAATCAAATTCCTTATAATTACCAACAGGAATTCAAACCTTGTGCAATCAGTAACCTTTTCCTACAGATGAATCTTACCTGTAACAGTAGAAAAGAAAGCTCTTAGCACAACTCTTAGACAGTTGAAGCTTCTGTAAAACTCTCCAGAATATCTCCAACTACACACTTAGAAACAGCACTTAGATAAAGCAACCAAGCTATATTGAATGCAATATTGAATGCAGGGGTGTGTTTGTATGTAATGTTTATGGTTGAATGCAGGGGTGTGTTTGTATGTAATGTTTGTGTTTGAATGCAGGTTTGTGTTTGCATGTAATGTTTGTGTTTGATTGCAGGAGTGTGTTTGCATGTAATGTTTGTGCTTGAATGCAGGGGTGTGTTTGTATGTTGTGTTTGTGTTTGATTGCTGGGATATATGCACATACACACATACACTGCCACATACACACTTACACAGATATGCACACAAATTAACACAAAGAAATACAGAGATAAACACCGTGACACATACACTCCCTGACACACAGATACACACACTGACACATACAAATACAGAGATGTTCACTGACATATACACACACTGACATATACACACACTCAAATAAACACACTGATACATACACACACCTTGACACACAGATACACAAACTGACATATACAAACAATCTGATGCACATGTAGACACATACATTTAGTATTTTTTATATTTGCAGCGACACTCCTGTAAGCATATCTTTTGTGTGCAGGAGGATGGCTTGATTGGGGGTCCTGCTGCTGCTGACTGAGGCTGATGAGAGTGAGTGTGCTGAGCTTCTTTCCCACCTGCTGCCCGTGCTGCTGCTTACTCATACTCACGAAAGTAGGACAGACTCCAGGTGCTGTTCTTTCCTTCAGAATATATCTCTCTTTAGAAAAGAAAACAGAGTTGGGTAAAGCGTAGTGAAAAACAAGGTGCAGGCTAGCCACTGTATAAAAGGTCACTCCAACCTTAATAATACAATACAAAACATAGAAATTACAGGGCGCCACATTCACCAGATAGATAAATGAGGGTTGAAATGAGATTAAAGGACCACTATAGTGCCAGGAAAACATACTCGTTTTCCTGGCACTATAGTGCCCTGAGGGTGCCCCCACCCTCAGGGACCCCCTCCCGCCCGGCTCTGGAAGGGGAAAGGGGTAAAAACTTACCTTTTTCCAGCGCTGGGCGGAGAGCTCTCCTCCTTCTCTCCTCCTCCATTCCTCCTCCTGGGCTGAATGCGCACGCGCGGCAAGAGCTGCGCGCGCATTCAGCCGGTCGCATAGGAAAGCATTCATAATGCTTTCCTATGGACGCTGGCGTGCTCTCACTGTGAAAATCACGGTGAGAAGCACGCAAGCGCCTCTAGTGGCTGTCAATGAGACAGCCACTAGAGGATTAGGGGGAAGGCTTAACCCATTCATAAACATAGCAGTTTCTCTGAAACTGCTATGTTTATGAAAAAATGGGTTAACCCTAGAAGGACCAGGCACCCAGACCACTTCATTAAGCTGAAGTGGTCTGGGTGCCTAGAGTGGTCCTTTAAGAAAAATACATATATTAGCAGCACCAACAATGTGCAATAGTAAAAAATATATATAAAAAGCCTCAATAGGTTAAAAGACCCATAGGCAAAGCAGTTCTATATAACATGCAAAAGTGCAAATACTAAAGTGCAGACAATCAAACAGAGTGAGAGAGCACAACTCCCATCACTATAGTGGATGATGAAAACAAATACTGCCCACACAGTCCTCGCAAAAAAAATTTAAAAAAGAAACTGCTAATACCAAACTGCAGGGTCCCAATGATGCTCAACGCGTTTCGTCTGTATGACTTCCTCAGGAGCTTCTTGCTTCTCTTCATCTTCTATTCCTTTTAAATCTGCCGGTTCACCGGTCCGTCCGTGACCACGCTGGAACGCAAAAAAACTTTATTGTTTATATACACAGTATCATCAGAGCGTCCTATACCAAGAACGCTCACATGTAATGCAGAAACTGTGTTCACAAGCCTACCTAGCACCCAGCTACTCCCCTAACAATAATTTCTAGCCCACATATAAAATATAAATGGTACTTAATGGGGACAATAAATACAATAATGAATAAAATAGTGAAAAGGAGATAAGAATGGATAAAAAATAAATAATTAGATAGAATGTATAAAAATATACATATCAAATGTACAAAAAATCATGGAGGAAAAATGAATATATAAAATTATAAAATATATATATAATAAATATATATAATATATATAAAAGATATAGAGTTACAAAAAATCTCTCTAAAAGTCCATTTATATTCAATAAATAATAATGTAAAAATATACATGATATCAGTCCTATATATATATATAGTGACAATACTTCTTAAGAGGTGGAGATAATATCGATAGGGGTACCATCTACATCTAAAAGCAAATGATATATATATGCAGTTCATGAGGGTATACAATTATACATGAAATTAGAATCGTATACATAAAGTAAAGTAATGGAGGCATAAATAGATGATTTTAAAACATGATCTTAAACGATGATTTTGAACATTGGAGGCATAAAAACTTCTAAAGATACAAAATGACAATTAATTTTGAGACCATACATTCGCATGTTTCATATGCCAAAATACATGAGAGAATAGACATAAAAATAAAACCAGACACCAATATGTGTGGAAAAAAAATATATATACATAAAATATAAATTAAAAATAATATAAAAAAAAATAAATATAAAAAAATTATGTAAAAAATTATCAAAATTATTAAAAAAATGTATTTAAAAAATATTATTAAAAAAGAGACAAAAGTCAAAAGAGGGGTTAATACACAGTCAATTAATCCATAAAAGACAATATGTCCAAATCCGTATTAAGTCCTGAGGGGACAGAGGATTTCCATCCATGTATATCCATTCTGTCTCCCTCTTAGCTAACATCTTTTCAGTATCTCCACCCCTCCAATGTGGTACAACTTTATCAATCCCAATGCAGATAAAATCCTTAAAATCAAACTCCTTACAAACGTTACAATGTTTAGGTACACTATGCTTCATATTCTTGTTCTTAATACCATTGAAATGTTCAAGTAATCTTATATGTAATTTTCTGATTGTACGTCCTATATATTGGATACCACATTTACATTGTAACAAATAAACCACAAATTGGCTTCGACGGTTAATAAAGTGCTTAATTTGAAAGGTTTCTTTAGTTACTGTACTGCAAAATTCTGTAACCGTATTCTTCTGGAATTTGCATGTAGTGCACCTCCCACACTTAAAAAAACCTTTAGGTTTCTCTGATAAAAAATTGATACCACCTCTGACAACCTCCTTTTTGGGTAAAATACTAGGGGCTAAGATGCTTTTCAAGTTGTTGGGTCTCTTATATAATACTTTAGGACTCTTATGTAAAATATTCTTTAAAAATTTATCTTGTAATAAAATAAAATATATCTCTCTTTAGCAGTAATTACAAGACCAAGGTTGCTTTGTGTGCGGACCAATGTGATTCTTCAAAGGCCTTGGACACTGAAGACAATTTCTCCCTTTAGCCTGATTCTCATCCATTGACATCCATCTCCTAGCTGTTGGATGAGGTATGTAGGGGAAGGATGGACTGAAGGGAGGACATGGGTGGCACAGAGGAGGGTGCTGTGTCGCCATTGACTGTCTGTCACCAGCATGCTATGCATGCTGAACACAGATGCCAAATAAGGAACTCTTGTTCCAGGCTGGCTAATGATGTGCCAATGACGATGGCCAAATGACGCTGCTGGAGGTGGAGTTACACCGTTGGCAGCAAAGGAGTATTGCTATGAAACACTGCACTAACTGACTCCAGGCACCATGATCACTTTATATCACTGAAGTGGTCATGGTTCATGGAGTAACTCTTTAAATGCTATTTATTCCCTTTGTTTGGGTGCAAACTTGTCACCAGCCCTATAAGATTCCCCGTAATATACTGCATGAATAAAGATAAATAAACTTAAAACATACAAATATGTTTAAAAATTGTTTTGCAGCCCAGAATTCTCACACATGCAGGTGAGATCGTTCCTCCACAAATTAACCCACATAGAGTCAAACTCAGACCCAGAAAAGAGATCACTCACAATGTGGGAACAAATATGCATTAAAGGGTAGTACCACCCTTTTGTAAACCTACCTCCATGTGTTACCAAGTCCTAGCGAGCTACCTCCCCTTCCCTTCCACTAAAATAGCACAACAATGGCACCTGGGAGTGGAAATCACACCTCCACAATGGCATACTTTGTTCTGAGACACCAATCACCTTCTCAAATATACCACTCTGGTAGAACAGCAGAGAAAAGTTATCTATAGGTGGTACATGGTACCCACAAGACTTCACAAATTTTGCCCGAATAGCCCTCCCATTTGCTGGAGATGTGAGGACATAAAGGGAGATGTCCTCCATATATGGTGGCACTGCCCGGCTCTTCGACCATTCTGGACCTCTGTCCGGGAACTCCTGAGAGCTGTGAAAGGCCACGACCTAGCTTTCAATCCCCAGACCTATGTAGCCCTACTCCTTCCGAGGGAGATACCCATGGCTACGAGGAAACTCATATTCCATGTCATCCTCTCAGCCCAAAAATTGATTGCGAGAACATGGAAAACCACAAAATGCCCCCCCCCCTCTCCAAACTGCTCGTAGATGTACAAGATCAGAGAGCATTTGAAGGAACGCATAGTAAAATCCAGGACCACTCAACGAACATGGGAGGTATGGGGCACATGGTGATCGGTACAACGAGTACGCATAAGTACAGTGGATGTGGGATCAATGTGCACTACTTTGTACTATACGCACGATTAAGTATCTGCTAACCACCACCCCCCCCTTTTTTTCCTTCTTTACCCCTTCCATTGTTGGTCGTTGACATTATGAGAGAAAATGGATAATAAAAATTGTCAAATGTAAAAACAATAAAAAAAAATTGAATTGGCGATTAAGGGGTTAAGGGGTTAAACCACACAACGTTTGTTTCTTAGAAACTCTGCTAAAATATTGTTCCCATTTCCCAGTCTTGGACTTTCCTCATGTTTAAAGAATGATTGCAGACTCCATCCCAGACAGAAACGCATTATACAGTATAATAAAAACATACCCGCTTCCGGATTCCTTTTCTTACAGTAAGTTTGCAGAATGACTCCTGTCTTGATGTACAAGTTATTTTCATACTCTTTTTCTAGTCTCTAAGACAACCAGAAGATTGTGTTTTAGACTTGTCTAGATGTCTAGCGGACCTGGCCGTGTCAAGGAATTTGAGAATCTCATGCCCAATGAACAAGAATTCCTCAGCGTTGTTATCATTAGAAAGAAGTTAGGAAATAATCTGCTTAATGGTAACTATTTTTGGAACTATTATTCTCCTTGCTGTAAAGTCAGGAAATGTGTCTGGTGATTTGACTGACATGTAAGATATGGGAAATGTGACAAGCAACAGACGATTAACTGCTATCAGAAGTAACTTCTAAATCCACATGCGGAAAATGTGCCTTTCTTTCTGTAGGTTCTAACTGAACTTATTTTAGAATGTCGTTATCAAAAATGTAAAACTATGCTGGAAGGATAAAACCTAAATCAATGATTCTTTAGAAATACAGAAATTACATCACCATCAGTATGCAATATATGGCTCGTGTA